GCTACTTAGGCAATGGGGAAGACACTCCTCAAAGTTAGGCACCAAACATGAGTTTCACCTTTCTGGGTATATTTCTTAATAACATTTTTCTTCGCTGTCTGTTTTCGACTTCCATGCCATTTCCGGGGGAATCCTTCCCTAATGTGTTCTAATTATATTAAGGACGTACACGCGCGATCCCATTTTACGAGCACATTCTATCATAGTCTTTGCACTATACAAAAGCTACAATAAAAATAATGAAAGGCAGCTATGGGCTTATTCCCCTAAGTCACTCAAGTTTCAATAATTCGCCGTCGAATTCGACTCATACATATGAGGTGTAACCGCGAATGAGGATAATTTAATAGCCTGATAATCCACTGCTAAATTTACAAAAGGCTTAATATTGCAGTATAAATTCTACCAATTTACGTTACTAAGTTAATAAAAAGTACTTCTTAACACCACGCCTACGTAAACTGGCATAAGTAAAGTAGCATTTAATAACGAGAATTAGTCCAGGTACACTACAAGTAAGACCTATTTCTTTTGAATCTTCTATTTTTAGCTGGTCGGCAGCAAAATGGATGGCGTAGATGTTCGCTTCACGTTTTGTCCTGTGCCGGAATATTCGCGAAATTAATTATTCAACATTTCTTTCCGAGAAGTATGCAGGACTCCAAGCTAAAATTAAAACTATTATGCGACTCAACAGTGATTCTGGTTCACAAGTCGGGTACTTGAAACAACATCTCCAATATTTGTGTGGCTTAATCATAAAGCTGAAAATTGCATAATGTCCGAAATCAGTTTACTTCTTTAAATCAGATCCACGTACTGAGCAAAGCAGCATGAGCAAAAGGACACTTCTGTCATGTGTATTTTATGGTGTATAATGCCTGCATCATGGCAAGTTGTAATATTTTGCATTTTTCTCGGTTCGTGTGGTACATTCCGCATGAAGAGTGTTGTTTAAGTCCGGGCGTACTGTCAGGTTAAGGTATTCACTGCACTTTCAATAGACACTGACGACTTTTATAAAATGCGACGCTGGTTTGGGCTTTTAGTTTGACAAAACTACTGCAAAACGGAAGTAAAAGGCATCCTGCAATCGCAAGGATATTTTTTGTTTGAAGATTTCAAAAATATGGTTGCCATATCAAGTTGCAGCCTGTGTGTGGCAAAACGAAAGTTTGAAGTGTTGAAAAGCTACCACCACAATGAAGCCCGTGAATAACATTTCTGTATACCTAATTCTGACTTGTCACTTCGTTTTTCGTGAGAGCACTTCGCATGCTGAAGTATAATTTTTGAGAGCTTATCAGGATGTCTCTGCTTAAAGAGGGAATCGCATCCTCATTTTTAACTTACAGTTGATTCTCTATCTCATGAACTGTGAACCAAAACTTTAAAGCGTGTTTTCGATTCGAAAAGAATTCTAAAAGATTTATTGTCGTAGAGGTGAATTTCAGTTTATTTCAGTCATGTAAGGAAGCTTGGTTTTGAACGTGCAAAAATTCAACTCTACAATAGATGGCTACTTAAGCATTATTTATGTTTTGCCTTGATTTTTACTACCCTCCGATAGGTGAAGGGGCCATTTTTCAATGTCCTTCAAAAAAGCCTTGCAGAATTGTCCCTTTTGCGGCCTGTTAACTAGCCTCGTATTTGGTTGTGTTTTTAACTATAATGCCTTGAAAACATGCAAGAAACATTGCTAGTTTTTTTATTGCGCTTGTTTGATAGAAAACTACGTATTCCTCAAATTTACACTTGGACACAAGATATCTTTTGGTTTTAAAAAAGCGTCTTACTTGCCAAATAATGCTGAACG